TATGCAATTTGATGTCATGCCTTCTTTCGTTAAACCCGTGACCTGAATACATGCCGTGGTTCTTTTAACCCACTCTCCATAATATCTACTAAATTATTAAAGAAACTATTTATAAAATTAGTCAACCTAAATAAAAAGCAGTTTATTTATAAATGTTAAAATACATATATTATCAGCATGCTCTAGAGATAACTTTAAGATAGGCAATGTTAATTAGAATTTTCATAGCTTGAATTGTAGAATATAAATTATATTCTTCAATTTATTTATCACTTGGTATTTAAATAACTTATGCTCTTTCAGTTAATATTTTCATTATAATCCGCTCGGATTACTTTACCAGTTTAGGTCAAGTTCTTACTAAGGTCTCATTTTTAATTAATTCCATTGTTTAAAGAAAATACAAACGTCTCTATTGTTGGCGAAAATGTTCAGCTGATATTTATTTTTACATAAATTAAAAAAAAGATAAAAGACTAAGATATTATATAACATTTCTGTTTTTCGAAACAATTAAAGAATTTTATTGCGTTTCGTAACAAATGATTTATTCAAATAAAATTCAACTATACATGAAAAATATGTATTTAATTTATCAGCAGTATGCATAGTTGAATTTTGCACGCCTTCATGCATCACCAATCTTATTGGTTATGCAAATGACGTCAACCCTACTCCGATATGAATTATGAAAAAATATTGCATGAGTTTACATTTCAAATGGGTTGTATGAAATACATTAAAAATATGTAAATATTGATACAAATCATATTAATTTTATTGTTTTTTATAAACAAAATATATGTATATACTTTTTTATTTGTAATTTGTTTGACCAAAAATTCTGATTCTTTAAAATGTTAAAAGATTAATGTTATATTAGTTTCCCGAAAATTGGTTCAAGGACGATATAGTCTATCATATTTCTAAATCTGATTCTAATATACACATACACAGACGCACACACACACACACACACACACACACACACACACACACACACACACACACACACACACACACACACACACACACACACACACACACACACACACACACACATATATATATATATATATATATATAGACTTATATATTGGCTCACGACGCGATGGTGCAGTGCAAAGCTTTGAACATTGCCGTTTTATATTCTATACTTCTTTAGTTGAAGTATTTTATGTACCCAAAATAACTAGTTAACAATGATTAAGTAAATTTTAATTAAAACACACCTAAATGAACATAAAATTTACAATCGACGGTAAAAAAAATATTGTAATATCTCAAAACAAATCGTTTGAAAAATATAATAATCCCTATCTTCAATACTTTACCTTTTTTTTACTAATGAACGTTATTATATTCATATAGCTATTATTTTTGGATCACATCATCGTCATCCACATCAATTTTACCAGGAACGCGTGCCTGAATTATTTTATATAAATTTCTATTATTTTCACCAGAGCTCCATTTTGCGATATATGTATATTTAACGAAGTATCTAATAGTAGTTATGAAATATGTCAAAGAAGAAAACAATGAATGAATATCCGACACCAACAGATTTAATTCTGTTATTAATATTATTAATTTGTTTTAATTTTTTTTAATAAAAATCATTGTTTTCTGAAATTTATTTTTTATTTTTGAAATATTCTCAATATATTTTTATATTTAAACAGCGGAGTAAATCATCTGTACATATATTTAATACTAGAAGACCTGGCGAACTTCGTATCGCCCTATAATCAAGAAATATCTATTACGTTTTTTATTTATATTTTTGGAGTTTACCTGTAAGCCATAAATCTCCGTGTTTTGAAGTGCGACAGAATGATTGACATATTAGTAAGTTGTCAAATCTAATGTCAAAAAAAACGTTTGTATGGGAAATAGAAAAGGGCTGTTTTTATGGTTTTCCCAGTAATGAATCAATTTTTTTCACCTTTTATACCTTCCCTGAACCTCCACGAACATTTCAAGACTAAGATAAGATAAATCAGTTCAGCTGTTCTCGAGTTTTAGCGAGACTAAGGAACAGCAATCCATTTTTATATATATAGAAGATATATTCTTAGAATTCATTAACTTTTAACATCAATAAGCATTCATCACAATGTAGTATAAAATCGGAATACTTATAAATTACCCACCCGCAATATACATACATTATATTATTACAAAAAAAAAGAAAACATTTCAAACAGTTTTTTCATGTTGAATAGAAATCAAATATTTCTGCATCTATGTATTGTTTTTTTAATATTTCTTAAATACTTTGACACTTCTTATTTCTTAACTCGTTCACGTTCACGGCACAGGTGCTCTTCATCATGGAATTATCCGTCGAATTATTCAACGCATAATTTAGCTTGCTTGTCACTTTTTGTAAAGACCATTGAGAGGTAACAATCTCAAAAATAAAATAATTTAAATTCATATATTTTTTTTAAGGCGTAGTTAACTAATATGCAATCGGAGACTATTTTAAAGAAGTTTTCATTTTTGAGATACCATTAAAAACAATAAGGAATAGACGATTATTTATGTAGTTTTTACGAGAGAGCTATAGATAAATGGATCAAATCTGTGTCACAGTTTTACATTTTTAAACATTTATAGCGTGAAATTATACTTCAAAATGCAATTTTTCAAGCTTGAGAACAAAACAGCATTATCTTAATAGAAGTGGAGGTATTTCTGAGTTGTTGTCGCAGTCCAAACAAAACGATTTCGATGCAGACAGACCACAACGATGAGCTTAACAATTTTAAAAAATTCTCTTTTTGTTAAATATTTTTATTTTGAAGTTTATTTATTTCATAAATTGATCACTTGTTTTATTTTGATAAGAGTTTTAGGGAGTAACTCTTATTATAATCCATAAAGACGAAGTATAATAGCGTAATTGAATTTATAATGAACCTAACATTTTTAAGAAATTCAATACATTGTATTTTGTATATATATAGTATACATATATATATATATATATATATATATATATATATATATATATATATATATATATATATATATATATATGTATATGTTATTGTTCCCATGGTTGTAAGGAAATAGAGTGCGGGTTTTTTATAGGATAAAACCGTCGTTAAAGAAAAGGTCCCAGCATCAGGCATGAACTACAATGGCCCCTTAAAAATAAATAAACAAAAGGGACCTATTTATAGAAAAGGTCGTAGAAGGTAAGGATACTGTTAGCTCATCCCTTTGAAATGCTTTTGTCAGTCGTTTTTGTGTAGGATGTAATAGAATTCTCAGATCCGATTTATTTGAATCGGTGGAGAAAGACTACTTGTATAAGAACAGTTTATAGATTTATTATTTCCATATATCGTTACGACAATTGTCTTAGACAATTTGTTCTATTTTAGTTATTATAAAAGACCAACAACAGGCAACACGTTCAAGTCTTAAATATTGTCAGTGTAATCAAAAACAATCTAAAGATAAGTTGAATGATATACATTAGTATGTAAGGATATATTAATTTGTTTTATTTTACACTACAACTATTGCTTTTAAAGACACTTTAGAACATTCTTTATTATGACATCATCATTTGTGACGCCATCTTTCACCATTTATTAAAAAGGAATTAAAGTATGTATTTTAAATATTTTAAATAAAAAGTTTTATATCAAAGAGTTATTTATAGTATTTAATATAATTTTATACTAATATGATGTACTTTAGTTTTAAATGTTCTTAGAAATATCAATAGGTTATATGATAATAACAAAATAATATTGACGTACATATCATAATTCTGTAAACGAATGACAGTTGTATAATGATCGTATACATACATAATTACATTAGATCATCCGATATGAATTCAGCAATTCTGGTAAATACATAGAAATTAAGCAGTAAAAGCAAATTAACTAATCGCGTTTGGCCATATGTAACGTCCATTCAAATATAATTATATTAATACTATTTAAACAAGACTTCATTTCAGTAAATAGTTTTAGGTTCAAATAGAATGAAAGTTAACTCACCATCTAGTCAAATATTACAAAAGCAAAATGGACTAAATATAAAACAGTATCTAAAAGCAATTAATATCGCTAACCATAAATCAACTATTGCACTCATAGATATTAAATTCGCATATTCAACTATTGATATCATTTGATAATGTGAATGCAAATCATTATTGCTTCCAAAATTGTAATGCTTTTAATACTATTCATTATATTTTACATTATTTATTACCTATATTACGTAGTGTTTAATATAAATGAGGAATAAATTTTACGTACTGCAGAATACAAATTAAATTGACTTGTACATATGATATTAGTAATTGTATATATCGCTTATTCTAATAACACGTATTAAAATATAGTATCAATAAATTTTGAGCCCCTCTCTGAGGAGTAAAGCTATAAAAAGGCATATAATAAAGCTTTTGAGTTGCTTTTGATTAGACCCCTTTGTATCCGGAGCGGAATCTCCAAGATAGCTCTTATTATCTCGCTTATTATAGTAATATCTTCCTTCGGTCTTACAATTGAAATATTCAAAATATCCGGGAAGTATTAGTAACATAATGCTAAGAATCTTTTCTTACCTTTTGAAATACGATATTCACCGGTATTTTTCTATTTTGTAAACAATGAAATTAATGAAACAGAAGTTGTAAGAACATAATGAAAACCAATAAGATGGTTTTGTGAGATATCTCAACAGATTATTTTAAATGTAAAGATAACACAAGGACAATGAGATCTAAGACTTTCGCAAGTATGTATTTAAATGAAACGAATATTTTTAAGCCGTAATTACGGTTGTTGAAAAGTAATCGAAACGTCGGGAGTATGTGGTTTTATCAAAAATAAACTACGCGTAGTATATCCGAAAAATATTAGTTTCATTTAAATAATACAACGACGTTTGAAATTTCAATGCCATTCTCTTGTTCACAGAATGCCGTGGTGTGGGATGAGCGCAGGGTGAGCTAGGCAGCGATGAGCGCGCCGGAGCCTTTAGTGCTTCAAGCGCTGCAGGGCTTCATCGACCAGAGTGACAAATGGCCTGGTCCGCGTGCCGTCAAAATATTCGTTTCTTCGGTTTACAATGGTGACTGTTTGAAATATTAAATATTCTGGCATATCTTTTAAATGAGCATTATGGTGCTAGCTTGAATGATCAGTATTTTTATACTTTAATGCTTTTCATTTTTTTTTATCATTTATTTGTTTTCATCTTTAAATATGGTTCTGTCTTTATTAAAATAATGTGACATTCTTCTATATTATACTTGTTAATTTAAAAAAATCATAGAAATGTATTCAAAATAACTTACTAATTTAAAATTGGAGGTGACATAAGTTATTGTACAAATTAATTTATTACCTATGTAATGAATAACGAATGTGGGTATCCTAAATATTTCCATGTGACAAGCAATTATTAAATAAACAAAATCAGTTATTCATACTTATGAACAATTTCAATACAGAATTTCGTGAAGAAAGACGTCAAATACTAGAACTTGTGGGTCCGGAACTACAAGCTACATACGATGACCGATATATCGAGGTAAATATTTAGAATCAATTTTATTATTGTAACCACAAAGTTATGACATAATTAAATTAAATCATAAGTTTGTTTTCACTTTAATATATTTGCTTTTACTATTACATCACTTTATTACCCTATTCACCTAATTAATTAAATTTGTTAAGAAAATATATAACCTAATTTCGTTTTAACCTAAAAATTATGGCCTTCGTTTAGGCAAGGCTCGCCAATTATTTCGGGGTTAATTTAAGAGCACGTCTCTTAAAACATTTCCTAACTTCTCCCCTAAAATTTTCTTTGTACGTTTTGCTTATTACGGCTGATCAAGTACCGGCGATCAAATTATTCTTGGTCGAATTTGTTTCCTCTGAAAATTTACTGAAAATTATTATAACTCTATTACCTCTTACATGTCAGGTTATATTAAAAGTATTTCCAGACTGTTTCAATGTTTGAAACTTTATTTGGTGCGAGTAATTGAAAATAAAATTACGTTCGTGTAACTTTAGCTTTAACGTATGAGAAGTTCTAATGAAGGAATTGTCAAGCAAATACACGGCCATATGTGAAACTGGATCAATACCAGAAGACAAACTTTGGAACGAGAATACAGCATAAACAAATGTAACTTCGTATTTTTGCACTGTTTTGATATTAACACCTCAATAGTTAATATGAAAGGCACAGTTGAAATGAATGAAACATATTGTATTTAACTTTTAGTAAGCTTCACTTTAATATTTTCCTGTTCAGTCAACTGAATTAATTCTAGATTAAGTAACACTGTTAACTTTTATATATTTCTTAGAACTGGTTTTAGGCTGTGAGAAAATAGAAATGTTGGTATTATATGGAAAATGTCACGGCTCAATATGTGAACGCATAGAATGAAATCCTTTTTTAAATGCAATATTCGAATGTGCCAAAATGGAGTGGATAAAACCATTTAAAAATTGGTCTGATAAAACAAGGCTTCTAGCCGAGAGCGGTTTTAATATAAATGATTGGACGGGGCCCGTAGAACTCGTATTTTAAAATTACAGTATATTTTATGTGTTTTGTAAAAATTTAAAACAACAATATAATGTCGGAACGTTTAAATGGATATTTAATGATCCATTTACGAGTATAAAGATAAAACATTCTTGTATTTATAACGACTGTTGGGAAACTGGAAACAGCATGAATGGAAAAATCAATACTTTGTACTCTTTTTAAAGTTCGAGTTTGTGGACATGCACTATGGGACGGATGGTGGGGATGAAAATAATCCAGGTCTTCTGCGATACCATCTGGATGAAATACGCTGCTGCTATCAAACTTCAAGAGCCGGATATTTTCTTGTAAGCAAATTAGGTTTCGTTATTTCCACATTGTACAAATAATTATATAATGATTTATGATATTCAAAAATGTATATTATCTGAACCTTTAACAAGATATTGGAGTTTATAATTAGGAAAGTAAGTTCGTTAGTTAGTGCTTGAAATAAGAGTGAGAGAATTCATTAAGAGATTGAAATTGTAAAGAGATAAGAATGTTTGAATGTTTGATATTCAATTCAATGCCAAAGTTGAGAATCTATCCATTTTGTTTTCTCTAAACAACCACATATAACAATTTATTATAAAGCCAATTAAATAGATTTATTTTTATTTACTATGTTTAAGAATACTTCGGATCGATGCATCATTTTCCATCAAATTTAACATAGAACTTTTAGTACCGCCGACTTTTTATAAATTCACACATACAACCGTTATTATATCATTTCGTACATCAATACACAATAAGTATAATATGGTACAAGAAAATCATCTATCCCAATGATCTTGAAATGATCTCCTACCTAAATTATTATCTTCTTACCAGAGCAATCTCTCCGATATTTATAATAATGAATCTGGTTGCTTTTGCAGGTATGAAGCGATGATATTTCTATTAAAATATATTTTTAAAAATACTATTGTAACAGAAATCGTTCGCATCGATCTGTCTGACCTACTGCGATGTTTTATTTCCTCAACAAAGAGGCTGAATGATGCGAGCGCATTTTCACTCTCATAAATAACTCGTATAAATATTATTATCATTATTTCATTTAATAGGCGCACTTATTATAAAAATTCACATATTAAAATATTTCAACCTAAAACAAACTTAAACAATATATGTGTAGTGCTTTATTGGTGGGGACACTTCAAGCTACAATCCTGTTCTACCATTCAAAATCGAAGCTGAAACATTTGAACGACTGATCAAATCTGATTCTCCGCAAACCGCTCTTATAAAGGCATGTTATAGGCTCAATGAAGATGGATTATATCATCTAGAAGGCGATGAAAAATGGTAGGTATATAAAATTTTTCTTTTAATAATCACTTTGGATGTTAATATAAAATAAAAGTTTTATTGTGTCTTATTTAAATGTTTATAAATTAAAAAGTATATAAGTCCTTCTAAGGTTCTATTAAATAAATAAAGATAATATCACTTCATTCGTTTTATGTAATATCAATCCATAAGTTTTAATAAGAATCTTATTTGGAGACTATTTGCTATTGCATTTAAGCCAAGAACTTGTTTCGTTTGTCGACAACGATTACTTTAAAAGCTTTCCGTTGAAATTATTGGGATAAAGCATATATAAATATAATATAATAGATTGGAGTAATCAAATAAAGTAGAAATCTAATACATATGTAGTTTATGAGTATTCATCACATTCTAATATGTACTTCACATATATATATGATATTGCAAACGTGAAAGGTTCATGACTTTGTATGGAAAGGTAGGATTACCTGCATTATTCAACGTATTACGTAGACCCAAACTTACCCTTATATTATACAGGTTCCTAAAAGATTATCCCGAATTGATTAAACCATTTCGAGATTGAAAAAAGAAAGTAAATATATTTAGTTATAGAAAATGTATATAAAGAAAAACATTACCATTACATTGTTTTTAAAAGTACTATAATCATTTATTCACGATCAATACCGTTTTTAAATAGGTACAGCGATTTATTAGAGCGAGATGAACAACGCAAGAGATTAGCGACAGTACAAAAAGTATTCAATACTTTAGCTCTAGAAGCTTTGGAGAATGGAGGGAATATATCTAATTTACTACGAAGTCCTGCAGAAATCCAGTGCGAAACAGCGCTTGGTATGTGAAATATTTAAATTAATAAACAAACTTCTGTTGTATTTATTCAGACAAAAACTCATAGTCTGTTATATTCACTGAATCAGTTATTCTTAAACATAAACTAAGACAATTCTTGACTTGACCTCTCTCATCTAATTTTTTTTCCTTGACTGGTTTTTTTTGGTAAAAAAAATAATTATTTTACAGAAATGAAAATGATTACGTCAACATTTATTCTTGTAGCCTAAAAGTCTTTAGCTGAATAATTTTCTTTTGTGGCTTTATTTGTTCAATTTTTAACCTCTTTCTTGACATTATTTACTTCTTTTATTTTAGATAAAATGATATCAAAGTAATTACTTTATCTAATTTATTATCAATACAAAGAAGTGCTATTTTGTATTAAACAACAAGAAATATAAAACATCATTATCCAAATACCAACACATTAAGAATCGGAATCTTGTTCATTGTTTTTCGTGATAAAAAAGTACAAAAGATAGTATTGTACAAAAGAACGAGAATACTTTAATCAGTGTTTTTTTTTGCTTCAGAACTTTTATCACAAGGAAAACACCCAAAAGGTTTTATTGCCGTATTAAGGGACATTCCGGACTTGGAACCAGATGACACAAAATTAACAGTCTTAGTTCATCAGAGGATAAAAAAGTTGCAAAAGAAATTAGAAGACATTTTACCTGAAACACATATAATTAGATTAGAGTAAGTAACATATATATGTATTATACTCGTATATATAGAAAAGGAAATGTTTATTAAGAAGAATAACTGTTTTTATCTAATGATACTTATTGTTCCTTTAGAGCTATATCAGCTGATTCATCACGAACCGACGCAGCATCAGATTCGGAAGAAAAGTTATCACCATTCAGAGATCGTGTACAGACCGTAGTAAGTTCGTTGGTAGACGACACGTTAAGTACAGAGCCCGATCAAGGCAAGGGTAGAAAAAAGACTGTACAGGTAAATAGATAAATAACAACCAAATATGTTTATGATTGATTTGTAATAGTATCTTTTACTATATGTGTCTATTTTCATTTTTACAGGAAGTGTTTCTTGAACACATTACTCATCTTAGAATATGCATAGAACATAATAAACTGTATGAAGTTAATATTAAGGAAATCGAAAATACAGCAACAACTATTCTTAATAATGCTAAAGAAAACTATGTTAGTAGATCTCGCCATCCACCGGTACTGATATATGGGCCCGACGCTTCCGGGAAAAGTACTTTGTTGACACATCTTTACTTTAAATTCGAGGAAATCTTCCCCAAACCTGTTTTGAGAATAATAAGATTTTCAGCTTCTACGCCAAGATCGGCATACAATTTGGAGTTACTCAGAGTTATGTGCCAACAAATTTCCATTATCCTTAACATCCCTGAGGGCTATCTGCCAAAAGATGCCAGTTTTGATCCCCTTTATATAAACAACTGGTTTCAAAGTTTACTGCGAAGATGCGAAGAAATGGAGGACGAAGTTTTATTGATATTTATTGACAATGTACATAGAGTAAATCCTTTAGAGTGTGATATTGTAACGGGGCTGTCCTGGTTACCTATGTCTTTACCAAGAAATGTTTTCTTAGTTTGTACAAGCGCTGTGTCTCTAGATCAATTGCAATTGACACCAGCTCAAAAAGAAAAGTTTAAAGTTCAGAATTGTTATTATTTGTTAGACGCTATTGAAGATATTCCTGAGAACAATAGCTCAGGCGACTTCATTGACGGTGCCTTTGATAATTTAGAAGTCGTCTTCGGCTCTAAAGCCTTTAGTAAATTGGCTGGTAATTATTATGTTTTACAGAGTTTCTTGTATTAATAGTATTATATGTATATTATGTATTGTTTTGTAGGTTATATTACTTGTTCTGAATTTGGACTGACGGAACTTGAGCTGTTGGAACTTTTGATGCCAACAAGCAATAGCGAAGCTGTTATTACATTGAAGGAGGCTAACTTCAACTTCTCTACGTTGTGTGTCATCAAGCATATGATGAGTAAGTATGTCAAACAATCGTAATTTCGAATTAATTTTAATGTACAGGATATGCGTTAGGAAATTATTACATTATATATTTTTTTATGAAAGCGTAACAAATCAGGTCAAAATTATTATTTATGTTTTATATTATGTATATGTCTAGGCTAATCAATTTTAATTTTCTGCTATAGAAAACCAATAAAACCTGAAGAAAATAACTAAAATATTAATTTTTTTCATAAATAATAACATTTTTTTTTTCGCTAACACTATTATTATTACTCAAATTTAAATTAAGTGAAAATTAGATTCGTATTTTAAAGACACTTAGTAGAGTGGAATACAGTGAAATCGCAAGAAAGTAATGTCAAATTTATTTCCAACAACTAGAATCTATAATTGAAGAAAACGTTGTGTCTGGTCGGAGCACGTGGCGCTGGCGGGCTGCGGCTGCAAGCTCACGAGCTCGTCGTCGCTATGTACGAGTGCAAACTGCCTTACGAGACGCGCATTCAGACCTCGCTGCACTGCACTTTGCTAACTTCCTCAATGACGCTGATGACACAGACACATCGGAAACCCAGGAACCTGGTACCAAAAGACTAAAAAATATATTTTTTTTATATAGTATTATGAGTATTTTTATCATAGCTTTATGTTTAGGTTGTGTGGATGATGACGACGCCCTTCTAGATTCAACTCCATTCCATTCAGCCAGTAGAACAGCCGCTGCATTTACTCAGAGACACGTGGAAGAGTCTTGGCTGCATTTATTACTAGCTGGTGATTTCACTAAACTTAAAGATCTCACCGTCTGCAATTTTGATTTCTTGCTTGCTGCTGTGAGTATATAGATATTTATAAATTACTCTTAAAAATCAATGTGCAGGTTTCATAAAGTCCTTTAAAAGAAAAGAAAACCGATGAATATCACTCTTAAACAATTGTTAACATTTATACCTTTAAATAATAAGGCTCTGTGTTAATGTTAACCTGTAAATAAAAATTCAATATTACCATAAATATCCGGTGCAGGTACAAACTGTAACGATATCGTATCTCCGCTGCATCCTGGAGCACGTCCGCTGCTACATCCTGGATCGCGACGTCGAGCTTGTGTACGGAGCGGTACGGAAGTCTAGTGACATACTTACACGTGATCCAATGCAATTAGGAGCACAGGTAATAATGTATATTAGTCAGAGATAAACAGTGAATTTTTAAAAAGGAATAATTACATTATCTTTTACCTAGTTTTATGCGACCTTACTGGTAAATATGCAAATAGTTCGAAGGGCACGCCCATAAACAATTGGTATGAGAAATTTATTTGCACGTTAGGTCATTGTCACAAACTTTTGTGTATATATTTGTTTTATTATTACGAAGCTATTTATATAAAGCCATTTAAATTTGTGATTGCTTTATGTTCAATAAAATGTCAAAGTAAACGACCATCAATCTGATGATAAAACAGATTTGATAGATAAAAAGCAATTCATTAACTTGGTAGCTTATGTCAATCAGCACAAGCTTATAGCTTTGGGGACAAACACGATAAAACTATGACGTGACTTTTATGAGAAACTTTATGGGTGCCGTAAATTAAAAATGTAGGTTATATCCAATTTTACCTTATTTACTACAGGAGAGTGGATAATTAGGTCAGTGATAGATGTACATATATTTTCTGTAATATTTCTGTAATATGTATATCCTGGTAGTATTACATAAGCCTGTATAAGCTGCTCCAGTATAAACAAGAAAATTATTTATGGTTGCACAAAGTTTCTTATGCAAAGATTACGCCCATAGGATATAAATCCTTAACTTGTCAACATATCGTCTCAAAGTATTAGGAGTCCAACTCGTCCTTTGGTTACAACAGCTTTAGAAAGGACCCTTCAAGTTTAAATAGCTAAAGATAAAGCAAATCTCGAGCCCACGGGACTATAAATAAGGTTTCAGTTAATTCCATTGGCCTCTTTACTACTGATGTATCTAGAAAGTTTTATTAGTTCTTCACGTAACGGTTTAATTAAAATACCGTAATAGACTAAGTTCCCGGTTTATGGGTACAGCTTTACTGTTAATTGAATTAGATTTCTACAGATATTGAACTACGAAAATATAATAACCAGTAAGACTTTCGAGAGTACCAATTTAAAATAATATAATTATTTTAAAACTAAGCTAAAATATTGTGGTATTAATTTTTTTTGCCGCTGTTTCGATTACTTTACACGAATCATCATTACAAGCACAATGGATTGAAGGGTCTGTCAGTTTATTTTCCTTGCTTTTTCATTTGTAGCTAAAAATTGCTAAATTTTCTTACTGATTACTCTGAAATCACGCAAAATACACTGTATTTTGAGGTCTGGCAGTGTGATAACCGACACAGAGTTTTATGATTTTTATGCGGGGATCGGAGAAGTTAATAATAATTTAGCGTCACTTTTTCGTTTGAATTTAAGATGTTTTTTCATTTACATAGCTTTGCACATTAATCTTTGTATATATCAATCTTCATGCGAGAATTTGTAGCTAGTTAAAATGGACAGATGTTATGGAAGGTTTATCCACTTTATGTTCAAGCATCACTTACTTTGTAGAAATTTTAATTTGAATATCTAGTCTAATTTTTAATACTTTACATTGATGCTTCTCATTGTTAACACAATAGAAGACGGGCTACACTCTCAATGCAGTTTTTAAAAGCCTCTTTCATGTAAACGAAAGATTCTAATAACAATTGGTCTCAAGAATTTTCTGACCTTATTGTTTTGTATATTGTTTGGTCACATTTTTCAAGTTATGATCTACTGTGTCAGTAACTCCTTTATATAGTAACATAGCAAGTTGTCGCTTACTTTTGGTTAGTTTTAGTCGTTAAACTTATTAAGTAAAAGCATATCTTTCATCGCAAAGGAATGGGGCACTCTAAAACATTTATAGTATACTAGATGACTAATAACAAGTCAGTACCAATACATTTAATTTACGATTGCGCAAATCAATGTGGAATTATTTTTATTTTACCTTGTAAAGAACAGGTTGAAATAACGGAAACATGCCTACCAACCACATGTTTACAATGTTTTACATTTTATTTTCCACTTTTATATTAAAAGTAGATTTAATAAATGAACCATAATTAAATATGCAGTAAAAACATAATAAACACATAATTTATAAAAACGCTATTCGTTAAATAGGATTTTTGAAACACTGCCAAGCGGGAAATAAGACCTCTTATTTGTTTTTTTTTAATTACTTGTTAATTAAAAATAAAACCAAAAAAGAGGCCACATTTCATAAAAAAAATCATCCGCACTTTAGTAAAATATGATTCTTTTTTAGATAATTGCATGGTTGCGTCCGGCGGTTGCCCGTCGTGGTGTCCTCGCAACATTGGTAACTGCGGCCATGGCCTGGTGCGATGGCTACGACAAACCTCTACTGGTTCCACTCAATGGATGGTAAGTTTAGATAAGTCACCTGCTTTTAATCAGAGCAATAAAAAAATCTAAAATTATATTTTTAAGTTTGATTCAGACAATGTATTTCCAAATATATGTTTTTTTATAAACTACAATAATAATTACTACAACATTTTATCTCCAGTTATTTATTAGATTTATAGTTGGGGCTTAGTCAAGACTTTAAATATTTAATGACATTAATTGCGTGAGAACGGAAAGTACAAACAAATGGTATCTAAGCAAATATTTTATATCAACAAACTTTGTGATAATTTAATAATAGGAAAACATCGAGGTCAAAGCTGATGTATTAATTATTGTTTATGAATATGATCAGGGAAATAATTGTGGATTCATTTATTCAAAGAACACTTCATAATGTTTCGCGCTTACACATTTCAGATTTTTAGGTCGTCGCATTGGGAAATGAGGTTGCACCAGAAAAGCCTTAACATGACATTAGCTTTTTTTCTTTCATATCTATGCCTATGTCTCTTTTTTCACTTCAAAATACTCATTTATTTCAATAAAACTGTAAATATTTAATTCTTATTATTAACAACGAAAATCACCGCTAAAATATTAATATAATTCAGTACGTAAATTACCAATCTTTAAAGACTGTTACGGATATTAAATTTAAAACCTATATTACAACGCCTTTTTCTCCTGGGATAACAGAATAATAAGTCTTGGGATATCTGAGCTTTATTCAATGAAATGAATATCTAAGAAAATAAAAAACTTTGTGTCAAGCGACTGGCAATTAACATTTTCAACAAGGTCAACAGGTTTTCACGAAGTGTCTTAATTCAAGGCTACAAGATTTAAATATCTCCATCATAATACGAAACTATAATAAGTGTTAAATTATATTTTATTCTAATTTAGTTTTCAACAAGATGGTTTTCCTCAGTTAATAATCATTACTACCGGGTTTTTATACTGGCTATGGTAATTCTGAGTGAATAGAAACTTTTCTATTATACATTTTACTTTATAGTGATTGCGGTAGTTCCCTCGGCGAGACGGCGACCCAAATGCTTTCAGTTGAACGAAATTCTAACCACACCTGTTACCATCATCTTTTGTCCATAATTTATGGTAATGTTTTCTTTATCGGAAACTGTTATGGAATAATATAATAATAAGGTTTTCTGAGTGATTTACAAATAAATGAATTGTAATTTTTTTTATGACTTTTTCTGAGTCGGAACTAATTACCAACCAAATAGATTTGATTAGACCAATTGGAAACATTTGAAATGAGCAATTATAATAAGTATACTACGTTGTTATTGCTAATAAAGTTTTGTTCGTAAAAGTAATTAAACCAACTAATAAGATATCAGTTCTTAAAGAACAATCGTATTCCGTCTCCGATACATAAGACTGTTTCGCTGAAATAAAATATTAATGTTTTGCCCAATTAAAAAATATTTACTGAATTAAACAAACTTCAATTTCTTAATTTTTGTTTCACAGGTTAAACAATTGCATAGTCATACTTGTGGTTTGTTTATCATTGAACTCTATTCATAGGTTATAAATAGTAATAATTATAACATTATTTGATCAATAATATACTAGTCAAACGCAACCTACTAAATATATATTACAAAAATAATGTGCAAAACGAGCAGCATTATGAAGTGACTTGGAAGAATATTAATACATAAATTATTTCTCAAATTACCAGCTCGATGGCACGTCTTCTATACTTTCTATCTTAAATTAATAAATATAATCTTCAAATATTTCTCAGCGATCTCTAGTTGCATTTATTAATTTGACACACTTAACTTCTACCTTATTCTACCTTTTATGTTATTTACAACAAAATCTAATATTAAGTACATACATATTATTTAATATAAAGAAAAAGAAAATAAAATTGCATTCTATCAATTAGACGTGTCTCTGTTGAGAGGGGGATTTAATTGATCGGTAAACGATTTGTTTCTATGTACTCGTATCGTTAACCTTCCCATATTGACAATAAAGGGTCGTCAATAGCGTTGCTTAGTTGTAATATCAATCAAACTCCAATAACGTCAATGTAGATTTCATTAGATATGTCAAATTAATTGCTAATTATATCAAATAACTAGATGTTCCCCGCAGCTTAGACCGCACTAAACTATAATTGATTTATGACAACTTCAAAGCATGTTCCAAATAATTATTTATTATATTAAATACAACTTTCCCAGAGATGTTTAATCTTATAAGTTTCAACGTTTACTTAAAGCTAATTGAATTGTATACTAACAATTGTTATTATGTTAGTCTATAATAATTATTATTCATTGTTAAGGATTCTGAAATTTGCCGGGAACCGAAAAATTATGAAAATAGCTAATAACTATTCCGCTTTAACGGTGAAGTGATGTTTTTATAAAATACAACAAAATTTATATTAAAATGAGCCATATGTAAATTGTTTTAGTGGTTCGGTCTCTTTTTTCCTTACGTGTGATATCATTAAAGATTATTTGAAAAACATATAAGGCTTCTTATTTTTATTTCTAAATAATTAAGCGTCTTTTCAGTGTTAGTAATAATTAGAATGGTGTGAATGAAAACCGACCGAAATATAAAATTGAAAGTTGTTTTTCGTACATTCTTTTTACTCTTATTTTATGTTTTGACACAGGCTTCATCCACCCATAGCGTCAACTGTCCGGGTGGTTTCTGTCGGAGGTTCCACTCCTGGAGCTGGTATTAGATTATTACAGCTCGCGCCATCTGGACAGCACTTGGTATTAGCACCATCAGCTGGCGATCCACAGCTTTGGCATGTGATGTCAAATTCTAAAGTTCACACTTTTAAAGGTAGGTAAACATTTTCTACACCAATCACATATAAATTTATTTTGAATCTATACCTACTAAATCCCTCATTGAATGCTAAGGCTATTTCAGATAAAGATTAAATTAGTACTTAAATGTGGATTTGGTATTACTTTTTCTTTGTCAGCCTCATTAATGAACTTACTATACTGTAAGGTATGGTTTATTAAACTAGTTATTTTGGGACTATTTTTATTGTAAGAATCTTAAATTGCTTGCTTACAAGCTCACATTACTTTTCTGTGTTCAATAAACAGGCCGACTTCCTTTTAATTATTTTATTGACGGCTCATATTGACAACGGGACAAAGCCTAAATCTTGCTATAACGTGAAAAGAAAAAGTTTTTATAATAAATATTAGAATAACGATAATAACAGTGTGAATAATTATTACCCATATTTTCAATACAAGTCTTTCGTTAATTCAAAAATGCAAAATAAATTCAAATCAGCAAATTGATATTCCAAGTAAAGCTCCGATGCCCTATCGATTACCGAAAACCTACTTATTGATAATAAATTGGAAATCAAATACGATACCTTCGTTAAATTGCAATTGGGGACGAACCTAAAGCGATTAATGTTATTGGATTCTTCGTATACGAAATGGTACTCACGATTTTTCAATTATTTTCACTGTTAAATCACTGAAACACCTGAGAGCGAATTGGAGATATTCGCAAATCGATACAAATGTAATTTAACGATATGTTCTACAGATTTTAATTACATTTTATTTGTTTTGTAAGTTTTAATCTGTAATGTTGTTTTAATTTTAAATATAAAAATGTATAGTATTATGTTGTAAGATTTCATTCTATTTTCAATTCTATTACGGTTATTATTAATATAATTGGCGTCAAAGTTCAAATCATAATGAAGGCAAGCCCGACCGTCACCTATGCGATATTAAATTAAATTGATTGAAACCATGTTCGCCTAAATACCCTACCCTTTGTTCCCCAGCGATTATCAAACTTCAAACTAAATATTATGTGCTTACACAAGAATTTAATATTGTACAGTTTTTTATATTAATTATCTATATTTTTTTGGTTGTAATAAAGCCAGCGCAGTAAAATACATTGGTATGATTTTTTTAAATGAATTATGATTGTAATCCAAATGATTATACATAAATATGTACGTAAATATGTACAGAAAATAATATACATGTATAGTCCTAGGAATCTGAAAATTACATTAAACTTCACTCTCATCTTATCCTCATAATGATTATTATCGATTACAGAAATAAAGTACATAAATTACATAGATAGCAACACATTATATATTTCTTTGTATTAACTTAATAACTGACCTTAATCACCGACCGTAACTAGTCCTAAAATCCCTTCAAAATCATATCAAATATCAAGGAACATATGTAAATGATATATCATTTGGACCACTGAGACCAAACGCTAATTTTCAATCCCTATTAGGGTCTTGATTACACTTAAGCCACAGATTACTGTAGAGTGACGAGGAGTATATTACCTGACAAGTTTGCGTATTAACGTTGAGAATCAATTGTTGTAAATTCTATTAAACTATGTTCTTGTATTATGTCTGTCTTAATTACATTCCTATTATTCTTACGCTACCATTTTGTGAAATGTATAAAGTTTATAAGTCTTATAATATTTTATATTCGTGTCAATTAAAAGATATATTTTTTTTATTATTGTCGATTGATTAAAATCTTTACGAGATTGAAGTCCTTACGAGATATTTTATTGTCTTTTATAAGTAAATAAAAACGTTTATCTCGTTTTACTCTTAATTTTAATATTATTTGTTACTCATTACATCGTTTTTTATATACTTAATATTTATAGGTCATTCCGGACGCATTTTATGTATGTGTGTAACGCGGGAATCTCAATATCTTCTAACTGGTTCTGAAGATACGAGCGTCATTGTCTGGGACTTGCATACTTTGGCTGTGAAGACAAAAATATTGTAAGCTACATATTAGAATGAAACTAAACTGAATTTACTACGATACAATTTTAACTAAACATAAATCGTATAAAAATGTTCTTATAATTTGTATTATGAGATTACATCGTAATAATTGAATACGAGTAGTATAATGAGATTTAGTTTCATTTAATTGAATAGTATATTTATGTACATATATCTATACCGAAGACGAGTTGAAGTACCTTTACAAGCAAATTACATACGCTTATTATTCTACATAATGACGTTTATTAGGATTTCCATATACACGTTATTAGAAACCGCAACCAAATGGGCTCACGTGTTTACTTGCGAGAGTTTACTATAACTTCCAAAATGAGCATAGTTCTCAACCGCATAATATTAGCACAACACAAGCGAATAAACTTACACAGTTATGTAACAATACCACAGTATTTGAAAATAAAATTACAATATATTCCCTGGTATTATTTTAGTGTGTTTAAGTTAAATATTAATAATATTATAAATTTGATTAGGGAACACATAGCGCCAGTGTTGTGTGTAGCGGCCATTGTAAATCGATCTCTAGTTATCAGCGGAGGCGAGGATTCAGCAGTTATCGTTACCTCATTAGTGGACGGAGCTCTGGTAATTATATTTCAAGTTTATAGTATCAAAACATAAGCAAATTGTTTACTATAATTCATGTTATATAGATAACAAAGTTGGACCACCACCGCGGTCCGGTGACAGCTATCAAAGTAATCCAAGATGGGGAGATTCTAGTTACATGTTCACAAGATGGTACTGTTTGCACGTGGAACGTTGACAACTTTGCACTGCTGAGTACTGTAACGGCAGGTGTACCGATACACGCCATGGAAGTCACTGAAGACAACGTTTTCCTCGTCACACTGCAAGGAGAAAATGAATTACATATTCGTACTTTCATCACGGGCACTCATTTGCATGTACTGAAACGTCATAAGACTAAGGTAAGTTGGTAGAATACATAAAAAATATTTGTTATAACTTGACAACATTTTTATAACTGGTAGATAGTGCTTTACTATCATTTTACCTATAGGCGGTTGGAAGTGAATGCTTAGGGAATGACAGTGCTATGTTTTTCTATTGTACTAAATTTTATGGACTTGTTTAATTAGTATAAAATTTCTTCCAAATGGAATGACTATGTTTAATAATAGAACTACTGATGTAAAATCTCAGTCGTTAATAACAACTGATACTTTATTTTCAAATAATTAAAATAATTATTATCGGATAAATAATAACTAAATACTTAGCTGTATGTACCAGGAAATGTACCATTTTAATTACATAATTACTGTCGTACTCGAACAAGATAATCCAATAACAAAGGAAAGGCATAATTGCCTCCCACTTGTCCTTTGAGATTAAATAGACTTTTTCTGTGGGTACAGTAAAGTCTCTTACATTTTTATTAAATTAAATATAAAGCAAAAATAAAAATATATTCTTTTGATATTGCAAATGTATAGAAAAGAATTATGTACTAAGAAATATTTTATTCCGTATATAATTTGCTTCTGTATAACTGCAAGTCATATAAAAGTATAAAGTAGAATTAAATTTTCAAGGACTACTTCGCGTTCCTTTAAGTGAAATACATAAATTTTTAAAGCCACGGAAATCTTATTCCAAATCTCCACCATACCCTCAATTTAATAAAAGCGATTATTCGATAGCATAAAACAACAAATAATGACTTGATAATATTCAATCTATATTGTGGCCTTAATAATACTTCAGAAATTCAATACTTCCAAATCTGCTAACGAGGTAAATTTATATATAATGAGCAGTCTTACCTACTAACATTTCTTTCGACCCTCTTCGAGTCCGGTAATTGAGGATCACGTCACTAAATTGTTTTAGCTTTACTCACACTTTTGTGGGGAGAGATAAATTACCGACGATTTCTAGTAAGTGCCCAAGGAGCGATCTTATTACATTTGTGGATAAATCACTTTTCGCTTTATAGCTCTTAATATAATTACTGTTTTGTGTAACTACTATCAATATCACATATATTCTGAGCATTTACTTAAGAAACTTGAGATAGATAATTCTAATTTAATTAATATAACACAAAATCTACCTTTGAAAGACATGTTCTAAAACTTATAACATGTATAATATAAATTAGTACGTCGTTAAAGTTTAGATGTGCTCTTTAGAAGTTCGAAACATGAGTAAAGTGTTCAGTACTTAGTAATTTCTATATAAATTAGATATAATATTATTGACTTAGAAAATAAAGTATTTTATATTAAATTAATGTATAATATCATATATTTATATATACTTATATTGACTCTTAGGTGAAATGTTTCTGCGTGGGCCATGATTCTTCTAGAGCTGCAGTTGGTTGTGCTGATCAAAGGATATACGTCTATAGCTTACATAGCGCTCAGCTACTACGAACATTAGCAGCAGCACATGACCTCTCAGCGCTAGCGATTGCTGATAAGGATCACTTTTTATTAGCTGCTGGTAAAGATAATATATTTCATATCAATCATAACTGAAGATGTTCATTATTTGATCATGCACTAATAAATCGAATAATGTTTACTTAGGTGGCAACAGAGTGACAATATATTCATTTCATACAGAAGATAATTTAACTAATTTTAGACCAACGAAACAAATGAAACGACGTCAAACAAAATCCACAACCAACATCACACTACTACAGGTACATATATGTTACAATGTTTTAAAAAATTTACTACAATACAATCAAATTAATCTTTATTCACCACTAGGCCGAACAAAGTGAACTGATCCCAATAAGCTGTCTCGAAGTATCGAGGGATGGCCAACTTGCGGCTAGTGGTTGCGCGAGAGGCTTAGTCCGAGTATGGCAACTCTCTACCCACAGACTGCAAAATACACTAAGTGGACATATGGGTCACATAACTTGCGTTACATTCAGCCCAAATAATTTAATGGTATTAAGTGGGTCAGAGGACAGGACTGTTGTAGTTTGGCAGTTGGCAGATAACTCAGCATCATTGACGTACAAGGTTTGTATGGATCATATTTCATCAAATGCTCGTTTGAAATAAGAAGGTTTGGAATCCGAATGAGTCTAAAAGCTGCCAGGTTACTTAAGTACTTTTTATTGATTATTCTCAAGGGTCACCAATCTGCTCTTCAAGTACTATTGATGATGTCTGATGGTAGACGCGCTATGTCCGGAGACCGCGCCCGCACCGTACACGTATGGCTCGTGGATTCAGGCATAGTACTGCTCTCAGCAAACTGTCCTACAACCAGCATTGATGTTACCCTTAATATGAAATTTGCGGTGAATATATTTTTACTGTTTTTGTTTAAGCATTTTTACGAAATATGTAAAATTGAACTTATTCATTACATTGTCACGTGTATAAGTTATGGAATCTTGTACATTACGTTTGAATGCAAAATATAATTAAGACAAAACGTAATTCCAATTATAATCTAAATTATATTATTTTCATTTCTACATTATTATAATTATATCCATAACTAGCACTAAGAGTATCAATCAGCATAATATCGTGCTTGAAAAATAAGATTGATATAAATTGAACAGTATTTTGTTAATAACTGTGAATATCTGTCGTTTCATTACAAAGGACGCAAACTACTAGAGTTGGTAAATACACCTGCCCCCAATGTAGAATGCTCAGTCTAGATTCCCTTTTAGTATAAATCTATGAGTCGTGATTCAAACGATAAGCACTTAATCTGGATACTCTATTGAAGTAGATCCCCGCTGCAGTAGATAATGGAGTTTTGATCTCGCTTTTTCGCTAAAAATATACGTATGCACCGGTTTGTTGTCATCTTTTTTCACTTTATTTATCATAAACTACGCATTTAAAGAGTTCGTACTTATAAAAAACAATAAACAGGAAAAGCGTTTCTAAGTTGGCTCAATTGAAATATTAATTAAAAAAATATACGAATTTCTGATCTTTTAATACGTCATAATTTCATACATAAAAAGAAATTTTCCTTATCGAGGTAATTGCAAATTTTAATATATTTATTTTAATGGTAAACATTATTAATCCAAGTTTATGTTAAACCTTAACATTTAATAGGAAAACTATCCGGAAATTATTATAAAAATAGTAAAAAAAAGGTCCTCTAATTTCTGATGTTGTTGCAAACCGTTGTTGTAGTATGAAAGGAGAAACAATATTCATTTATTAATATTGTTTAAAAATTCTATATTCTCTTTTTAAATAAACTTTTAGCGCGTAATACTTAGAAAAACAAATATTTATCTTTACGAGTTGAAAGCTTACGTTTGTTATGATAATCCACGACTAGCAGAATATAAATCTACTAAGCAATATTTCGCAAGGAAAACCTATTTATTCTCGGAAATTGATATAGACGTGCATGATAATAAAGTAAATCTCAGAAGCTGGATATGAATCAACGCAATTCAGAGTACGATAATGTTTATAGAAATTCACTTATATTCCCAGAAAAGTTTTTTTTGTAAGGGAACTTATTCAATTTATATATATTTTATTTATTTTTGATCCTATAAACATGTTAATACAAAAAAATGTTTGTGCGCACTTAAAAAGATTTGTGATCTGATGTAGTTTACATATGAAATTGTACGCTAAAAATAACATTATTTCTTACTTCACATAACTTTTCATTAAAAACTGAAAACATTATAATAATATTCTCTTTGTATTCAAGCTACTGTAAGGTAACTGAAAGTAGTTTTTTTAACATGCGAGTTACACGCAATTTTATTTAAATTCCATTTACGAAAGAATCAGTTTGTTTATTAAGACTTTAAAATAAAAAATATATTTTAAATCACTTCATAATTTTTCATTTAATAATCTGAATAAAGGTAAATATTAGTCATCGATTACAGTAATATTATTTTATTTCAAACCTTCGTAGGTTTTATCTGATGGGGATAATTCGGTTCGAATCTGGACCTTAGCCGAAGGAGACAGTGGCGAGGAAAAGCGTTCCGTGTCTCACGCAGAGCGTGTCACTTGCTTTGCTCTTACAGCAGATTCCCAGCATGTGGTGACTGGATCTATGGACATGTCGCTCAAAGTTTGGCAACTAAACGGTGGAAAGTTATCTCAGGTAATATATTTATTTTAGATTTATCAATGCCATTAAAACGAACAAAACAATAAAGGGCCGTCGAACGATATGACGTAAATAAATTTATCGGTTTTAGAGTCATTCATGTGTATACTAAAATACCTTGTTTATATTTCAAACTGCTCCTTTTACTGTTCCTTCGAATTGAGTATTTCTTTATGAAATTCTCGTTTTCTTCATCGAATATTTTTATTTTACTCACCTCCCTTTGCAACTTATACTCAAAATTTCAAAACAATTCTCTCAATATTTGAGCTTTAAGGTTTGAGTGTTGGAATCATAATTTTTAAATTATAATTTTCTAGGTTTTAGTAGGTCATACCGACATAGTGACTTGTGTTGCTGTCTCGATCACAAACAAGACTCAAGTGGTATCTGGTTCGTGGGATTACAACTTAATTGTGTGGGATATAAACACGGGTTCTGATGTTCATCTGTTATCTGGTCATTTGGGCAAAGTTACTTGTGTGAAAGTCACTGGCGACGGAACGATTGCAGTTTCGGGTATATTATGCAACCTTATTACTAAAGATAAATAATAATTAAAAGTTACAATTATTAACATATATATTTCATTAATGTATGTAATGTGAATTATATATTAGCATTGAACACTTTAAAGCCCCATGAAAACAAACAAAAACTGGGACAATCAATTATTATTTATCGAAATCGGAACCATGCTAACGCAAATGCTATTAAAATAATGTCCTTTATCAAATTGTAATGATATTACATAACATACAATTTTGAAAACAAACTTAATAGGCAATATGAAAAATGTACATATATTTTAATAATAAAAAATTAACGTAGCTACTAGAGTATTTTGTTCATTAAGAAACTACATTAACATTATTGAAAAATCAGGTGCGGAAGATAAAACACTCATAATATGGGAGACAAAACGGGGTCTTGCTCTGACATCACTAGCGTTGCACGTGCCCGCACTCACCTTCCAGATTACTAGCGATTGTTCGCGCATCGTTGTTCATCTTTCAGATAGAGGTGAGTAAAATATTCAAAACACACATTTAAATTAAAATAAAAATCTCGCACAAACCAAAGCTTTGTATTCACAATATTGTGTTTTAACTACATATAAAGAAGGCTGTTCGTTGTTATTAAATAAACTATCAAGAGTTTTAGTCATTAAACTACTTTATTTACCAATTAAGTGTCATGTCTAAACCCCTTTTAAAATTAAGAAGATTTTCTAATGTTGTAATCCTTTAAAAGTTATACAAAAATGCTGTGTCGGTAAAAAGGAATTTTATAAAAGTAAAGCTTAATGACTGGAACGTAATCCGCTATCTTTTTTATAAATGAAAAAAAGAGTAACTTTATTGCTTTGGGATAAAAGTTTCATATCAGTGAGTATACCTTTAGAATAAAAATGGCAACTTATGACAATATTCTTCTGAAAGGTAAGATTGTGGAGGCCTCTGGGAATTTTAAGATAATCCCCGATCTCCCTATATCGAGAGAGATAAAACTGCTATGCTTCGAAAAAACAATTTCCACAGTGAGCATAGAAAATTTTTAATAAACTTGCAGCCTTTAATCTAGAATGACTAACAATAGATCTACAGCACAATGAATTTTGACGAATGGAATTGTTCTGGGATACAATTCACAGCAATACAATTATATTATACTATCTGTGAAATGGTTTTTTCTATAAAAGCAATATAATAGTTATTTGGATTTATATATTTTTAATGTCAACGTTACATTTTCTATAAAAACATTTCACTAGTTAAAGTAAAATATTTTTCCCTATATAAAAGGGATAAATGTGCTAGGACTGCTACGTCGCGTTCAATAAAATTATTGAAAAGGTTTGGTGTAAGTATAATTCGTCATGGAAGGCCCATGTAGGTTTAAGAATACAATATTAGTTCTAAGTTACAAGTTTATTGTGCACGTGATGTGTTACTTATGAATTTAATAGTACTTAGCTGCTTAAACACATATAAGTGGGTAAAATGGTGTGTTCAACAGGTTGCCTGCCAATCATCTGCCTACACAACACTCCAGCAACGTACGTTAAAATACCAACATATGCCGCACCCACTAAAAACGTCGACGGTAAGCTTTGAAAACCTAACTAGTAAGGTACTGCTTTAAAGTTTAGTTGATTGTATTGCTAATAGAACATTTTATTTTCGGATAGAACTGCGACCATTGGCACCAAAACGTCCTATGAGGAGATTGCTTAAGAAGGAAGTATCACTAGATACGTACACTTGGCAAAAGAAATACGGACATCTTACATCAGCAGCGATGATGGCACAAGTTGACGAACGATTAAAGAGAAGGTAAGTTGAAAATGTAGAAGCTATCTAAATATGGACTTAGGGTAAGATTGGCACTTATCTAAATGATGTAGTTTTCAAAACGTGCTGTTTATGGTTTCATTAATGTTTCATGTTCATGTTTTACTTTAATCAGAATTCAATAAAAAGTAAATAAACGTTGATATAAGAAGGTTCTTAAAAATTGTTAATAAAATAATCTATTTAAGACTCCATTTATATCAAACATTTATTTAACTGTCTTTCATCCTTTAGATTTTCTGTGTCAGCGTCAATGGAAGAGATATCTAAAATCCAAGAAGCTAAGAACAAAGATTTGGGTTCACAGGTAACAGGCTATTTATTAATTAAGCGATTACTAACACTTTCTTTATTTTTCGATTTTATTATGACGATACAAATAGTTCCGTGTTGCATTATAAATTAAGTTGTGACTACTCAATAGCAAGGCAAGGATTTTAAATCTTTAAAGGGATAAAACTTGAACTGGGAGTCATCTAACAAACGATAATTTTCTATAGGTTAGTCTTGGTCCAGAACAGGCAGCAATCGCTCAATCACAGCATTTTGATCAGCTGGAAGCTCTATGGAATAAAATATCACCCCCGAGGCGACGATCCAATAAGGTTATTATTACCACCACATCTCCCCAACCCCCTTAACACCCTCAAGAAGTTGAACTCCTTTGTTATTCAATCATTATTCGTTACTGAAGTTTAATGGACGTAGAAAAGTAAGGAAGATTTTAACTAAGCAAAGTTTCGAATAATCGGTATTGGAATTCCAAATGAGTTGAAGTTATAATGACGATTGTCGTAATCTATGTAAGTTTCTTTTACTAATAAAGTTCTTAAAAGTTACATCTTATGTCACATTTCAATTGAACTGTGTGACAATGAGCTATTATATGAAAACTTTTGTCTTAATCTTTCAAAGTATTAGAATGTGAGAAAATCCATGTTTTCATTATACCCTGTGATGAATTGTTTATTGATTTAATAGAATATTTCATCATCGTGCTTTTATTTATTGTTATTATTGTTACAGACACTTTCAAAGCAAAGTTCACTCGTTGAGAGACTTGATTCTTCAGACGAGGATCACACCCCAGTTGAAGAACAAGGTACTATACTCAATCTCAGAAAATAATACCGCTTATATTTAATAACTTTCTTGAAATTGGATCTGGAATAAAATATTTATTTTCATTTCACCTTATTCTTTCTTTTACAGAACACATGGTGGAGTAACATAGTTTTAGGTAGCTGAATTATTTTTATTCACGTTGTATATTTTTGTCATTAATTTTATCTTGATTTTAATGAGCTGGCCTCAATTATTTGATTTAAATTTTAATTGTAATTATAAAAAAAAACAATTATAGTACTATTTATATTGAGTTTATTTTTTGGTTTATGTGATATGTTTTAATGTTAGATATTCCTTGGTTGAATTTCATGTAATAAAAGGAATGCAAATATCTTTGAAATATATACCTTATATTTAAGTTTCTTTAAATAAAATTGTTATTTAGTTTGGTCGTTAGAAGTCAACATTTTATAAACTGTTAAAGGATATATGCATACTTGAAATATTATTACCATTTTCTTTCAAAAAATAAAAGTAAATAAAATTGGCATGCAATTCCATTGGATTTACTGTAATGTTATCTTCTTTTTTTTTATTCAAGTTTATAAGAACACTTAAATTTTACTTTGAGATTATTTCTTACTATTTATATTTATAAGTGTTCTTTAGGTTAGTATTAGTGTACCTAAGTAATTTTAGACTTCCAGCCTCTACGCAATGTGATCTTGTAGAACTAATATAGATTAATGATTGACGTCAAGAAATTAAACAAAAAAAAAAAAAGATTTCTAGAAATGATACATTAAAATCATTAGGACTTTTCTGTTATTATTCTGTATTCGTTTTATCCTATTCAGTTGTTATGCATTTACGTCATATGTATTAAAAAAGGTACTTTATCATTAGTTTGTATTTTTCGCCACTTCTTTGAAAGTTTTGTTAAGTATAGTTCCGAACCAATAGAAACAAAACTTTATCACACTATATTCCCGACTTTTTCTTAAATTTTAGTTCTAGGCTGTCGAATTCCTATTTTTTTATTTTCAAATAAACAATTTATGTTTCTCTTAAATTTTACATAGAATGATATTTTTGATCCAATCCATAAAATTTATGTTTCAATGTTAATGTTTTTAGAAATATTAAATTTACAAATGAATGCAACATTCGAGTGTAATCATTATTTATAATGCATTTTATCTTATCGTAACGTTTCTTGTAAGTTAAGTAATTCCCAAATCGTTGTATCGAATTAGTTTTCCAAACTGTGATCCCCTATAAAGACTTCTATGTAAGTACATTAAAGTTACCCATAATTAGTGCATTAGTAAACACCTAGTCTAACATAAGTACCTTTTACACTTGTAGTACAATGTTATAAAACATCACAAGTATCTAACATGCTATACAAATAAACATAGATTATTTTATCCTTCCTTTTAATCACTGAAAGACGTGCTTGTGAAGCTTTTAAAGTATTAATAAGTTTATTAACAACTATAAAGTAACCATAACATTTTAAAGACAGGTTCAATCAAACTTTAAATTAATTCCCGTTCAGTAAATTCTTTTCACAGCAATTTATATAAAACTTTTTTTAATAGTCTACGAGTAATTTATGAATAGTGACGGTGTAACTTTTAAATGATTTTTATTTAACCTAGTTGCAGTTGATGTAGAAGTGATTTCTATTGGTATTAGATTTAAATTAGAAAATGCAATAATATTTATAAGTAGATGCACTTATTTGTAGATGTTTATGCTTATACAATTAGATTTATTTATTAGCTATTCCTACTTCTATTTTCAAAAACGCTTTAGTGACTAGTGACTTAAAAGATTAATTCAAAATCAATAAAAAAGGCGATTTATGTTACATAACACATTTCTAAATTTAAAATTCCGTAATACTGTGTGTTTTGAGTATTGTTCAATCATTTTAAATCTAAGAATGCGTTCACGCGTATGCAATAATTGTATTTAGACACTGTCACCTTGTTAACTATTTGTATAGAGTTTTATATTCGTGGTTTCCTATACGTCACCTGGGTGATTTTTTATTTTTAACCTTCGTGATGTTATATCTGAAATATATTCTCTGTGTTTCTTATGAACGTGTTTTATTAAACATTTTATCCTCTTCCTAGTATCCTTTCTATAATTATAACCTGTCTATATTCTTCGTAAGCATTTCGTATTTTGTTATAAAAATCCTACTGAATTTAAATTTGTAGGGCTACGGAATTTTAAGCATTTAAATTTTACCATAAAAAGATAAGAACATTGTAATACTTTGAATACAATGGGATCAATTTGAAGATTTGCAGCAAATTCTTTTAAAGAAGAGCAAAAATGTATCAGAGATATTATTGACCTCTGACTGTTATCATGTCTGTGTTTCTAATGAAAGTAATAAATTACTTCTTATAATGAATTTATGGAGAGCAATCTAATCTTTGCCGATAATGGCCCCTATCAAACATATTTACCACAAAAATACCGTCAATTGAACATAAAGATCATAGTCAGAGTGACGTGAGTGTTGACACAAGATTATTTAAAAAATGTTAAGTGGAATTGAAGAATTTAAATGAGTGTGTACATGGAACTTAAATATTTTCAAAGTGAATTCCTATTAAAGAAGTACATAAAGGAAAATAAAAGGTGCTACAATGGGGACGTGTCAATTCTATAATATATATTCTATGGACGAAACTGAAACAACATTTCTGCCTATTTCTACTTTAATATTTAGTACAATTGGAATGATCTTATCCTCGATTGCATTGGTTATGCTAATTCTCACGGCTACACTTTTTTCGGAATGGAGGAGGAATTGCAAAAACCAACTGCTAACCCAATTTATGATTTCGAGATTTTTCTATACACTTGTACGATATATCTGTGATATAACAATTCTATTTGAGATCGATATTCATTGCTCCTGTCCCTTAACTTTGGGTTCATTAACAAAGACTTACACAGAAATGGTTCTTTTAAGTTGGATGTTCTTATTTAGTAAACAAATGTATGAATGTTTCGTAAGAGTCTTTGCTGTGAAGAAACCAAACGTATTGAAACTGTCCGTCTGTGGATGGATTTTACCCGCAATCGCCACAATAATTCTATGTACTTGCGTCGATATACTAAACTCATGGCATTTTCATTTCTTTTTCTTCTACGTGATAACTTTAAAATGGCCAATATTATGTTCAAACGGCTTTTTCCTTATTGTTGTACTTAAGTCTATCTTGGGAGCGAATAAAAGCAAAACAGAAAGTAACACACGTATAATTATTGTTATGATAATACTTATCTTTTCATTTTGCTTCCAACAGGCTTTTTACGATATTTATAAATTAATTGACTTTGTTTATAATGTCAAGAAAATGGAAAATTATATACCAGTTGTGTTTACTTTTACCGATATTATATCAGCATATCATTGTGCCTTTTCTATAATGTTTTGGTTGTTCGCTAATAAAGAAACGAGAATATTATGGGGAATGATAAAAGATAAATCGCTGACTATAAATCGTACGAATGAACATAATAAAATTGAAAGATGTTATACGATTACATAGACATTGCTTTGGAAGCCAAATGTATTTTTAATACACACTTATTGAGTTTAGGTTAATATACATATGTGAATATTGAAAATAAAATATATGTATAGTATCACTCGAGACACGATAATTGGGAAACCCTTGAGTTGAGATACTTAGGTATCTCCAATACCTGTGGACTCCAGATTAATTGGAATGGAACGTATTTAATGGAAGGCTAAATGGGTTCATAATTAGCGGAAAATTACGAGAGACCTTAAATGAATGTAAGAGGCTATCAGCCGCTCAAAGCCGGTAACAAATTTGATTACGTTCATACTTAAGTAGTTTCAGTGGTCAACAAATTTATAGTTTAAGATTTAGTTTATAATTTAATGTATGTGGTTAATCAAACTTAGTATATAATATATATTCAGGAAATAAATATATTACAAGAAATCAAAATTGTTGTCTTAATACCTAATAGTAGAAAATTAACGAATTAACATTTATAATTTACTGCGGAAAAGAAACGAAAATTATAAAGTTTTTTTAAAATTTTGTTTGAAAGTGTGTCATCTCAGTAATCCTTTAAAATCTTCGAAGACTTATTGTTTCTGTTTTATTGCATGAAATGACAGATTTTTAGAGTAGTTTTTCTAGTAACTACTATTTTGAACTCAAAAAAATCCTGTATATTATACAAAAACAATTTATTTTTCATAGTGTTCTTACTTCATTTGCAAAAAGTAGTCAAATATTTCTCAAATTTTCTTAAGAGGATGACTGATCGGTTAAATGAAACATGCACAGGCCGGAAATTGAGGCACGCCAAGATATAATATAGAACGAGACCTCATAATTTCCAACACTTCTAAATCTTGCAGAAAATTATTTTATAAAAATCATTTAAAAAAAGTTGATTTATTAGGTTTAGATCCAGCGTTTGAGTGACACATTGAAAAAACCTTAAAAATATAGTTAATACATATATGGCATAAATATTTTATAAGTGGTTGTAGAAATTATATAAAAAAAACAGTCTTTTTGCTGGTTATTGTCCACCTATTTTATAACCTTTCAAAATTAAAATATGATGATATCTAATTGTAATATATGAAGATAAAATGCATGAGACAAAAAAAAAAAGATAAATATAATTGTATACTGTTACAAATCGACATCTATTTGGTGCGAAGTTAAATGCTGAATTCCAATGAAAAAAGCAGTTGTTTCTACTACAAACTTCTTTAATTAAAATTAGCTTCGTTTAGTAATATTGCCACGGAAGTTCAAAAACATATCTATTTAATATTTTATTTATTTAATTTACAGAATTCGATCATTATCAGTTTATCAAATCCCACTGCTGAGTAAAGGCCTCTTCTCAAAAGGAGAAGATTTGAGCATCTATCACCACGCTTCTTTAAGACGGTTTGGTCGTTTCAAACTTATAATTTTAAATTACAAGGCCAGGTTTCATCACGATGTTTTCTTTCACCGTCCGTTAATGGTATCTAAATATTCTTAGAAAGTACATATCACTCCGAGAAATCACACTGGTACTTGCCAGGTTTCGAACCAGCGCCCTCATGCACGAGAGGTAAACCTTT